TTAATTAAATCTATATTAAATCTATATTCGGGATTATTAAAAGATATATTTAATTAACTCTAGATATATAATTTAGTAACGTACAACAAATTGTACATCTTTGCTCGTTTTAATCCTAGGGTGTGACCTTGTAGGTTTTTGTAACGTTAGCAGTAATTATTAGAACAATTCTAATATTACATACAATGAGTGACATCTAGCAATATATCATTGTCACCTAAGTTACAAGAAAATATGATTCGACATATCATCTTGGTGGTTAACTCTTTTATGTATTACATCCTTATGTCCTTTATATCTAGAATAGGCACAAGTCTTGGAATAGTCACACTTGTATAGCCCATCTATTGTTTCTTGATATCTAGAGTGGACTATAATTAACGAATAGTTTATGATATTTCACATCAACTTATACGAGCATGGCCATGCGTTTCTAGTCTTACTCAATCAAGTGGCATGTGATATATTTCCTAATATATAGGAAGGACAAATCCTATCTTAATCATACACCCACTACATATATTGAGATACATTCAATAACAATCTTTATAGAGCAACTAGTTACGGAGCTTGTTTAGCTGCATCAAAACATACAACAATAAATGTTGGGATAGTATTGATCTCAAGTCTGAGGACCATACATATAGTCATCACCATGAGCAATGTTATGACTGTCACATAATAATCCAAGACATGCTCATGGCCGGTTAATCCAATACATTGTTCTCTAACAATATAATCATGTATCAATTCTGACATCTCTATGTCAATGACAACTCGTTGCATCGATCAATAACATGTTAGTCTTAAGCGTATTATTATTGTCCATACCCATAATAATATTTGACTAGGGATCTTTTAATAATAACAATTATGTCATTATAAGGACTTTATTATCTTCCAGTTTATGTTAAACACACACATATATATATAAATGAAAATAATAGCGACAATGCCTTTATTCAAAAAAATTGGTAAATAAAAGTATTATTACAATCATCATATGATTGGTCTTTGGGCATACTCTAACACATTGATATGATGTTCTTGAACTTCTCCAAGTTTAATATTTCAACATTTTTCTTTCTATGAGAGAAATTCCCTTTCAAGAAAGACTCTCGTTTGAGCAACAAATATTTTGTTCTCGTTAGGGTTGAAGAAAAATATCCTTTGGTTTCTTTAGGATATCCAACAAATATACACTTATGAGATTTTGTTTATATCTTTGTAGACATATAATATCTGACATAAGCTTTGCAACCCCAAATCCTCATAAAATACATGCTAGGTCATTTCCCAGTCCATATATCATATTATGTCTTTTGATCCGATTTAGATAGAGCACGATTTAGTGTGAAAGCATTTGTTTCAAGTATAATATTCCCAGAAAGATGTCATAAGATCACTTTGGCTCATCATTGATCAAACCAAGTCTAACGAAGTTTGATTTCTCCTCTCATAAATATCGTTCTATTGTGGAATACCAGGTGGTGTAAGCTATGTGACAATCCCACACTCTTTCAGGAGTTCATATTTGAATTCCTTGAACATTTCAAGGACTTCGAATTTATGGTGCATAAGGTAAATGTACTCATACAGACTAAAGTCATTAGAAATGTAATGTAGTAATAGAATCCACCTCTAGCTTGTGTATTCATTTGCCGACATATATAATTATGTATTAATCCAATAAATAACTTGCTCATTCACCTTTACTATTAAAATGAGCCTTAGTGATGTTTCCAAATAAGCAGGATTTGCATACATCAAATTGCTCATTTATGGGTCTAAAACAAATGAATCTAAAAATCCATTTTTATGGGGATTTGATATGTATTTCTTATTTATATGGCCTAAATAACAATGTTAGAGATAAGTTTGATTTGAATCATTTGTCTTTGATCTTTTTGTATTTATGTTATAAATTGTATTATCTTGATCCCAAATATAAATACCATTAACTAATTAAACCGATCCACAGAAAACATTATCGAGATAAAACGAAGAACAATTATTCTTTATATTTATCTCAAAGCCAATATTGTCCAAAAAAGAAATAGATATAATGTTTTTAGTCAAATTAGGCACAAAATAGCAATTTTCTAAATTTAAATCAAGTCCACTAGGCGAAGATAAAATATATGTCCCTACAGACATTGCAACAACTCTTGCTCCATTTCCCACTCGTAGGGCCATGTCTCCTTTTGTTCGATTCCTTCTCTTTTGTAGTCCCTGTGTAGAAGTGAAATATGAGAACCACAATTGGTAGATAATACCCAAGAAGTAGATGTTGATAAAATAATATAAACAACATAAATACCTGGAACGAACGTTCCGTTCACTTTAACCTTTCTGACCTCTTTAAGGTAAACATGGTAATTTCTTTTCTAGTGTCCAGTAATGTCGCAATCGAAACATTTTATTTCCTTGCTTACTCCTCTTTTGGGTTTAATGGATCATTCCCTTTGGGCTTGTCCTTGCCATTATCTTTAGGCTTTGCCACTTTCTTAATATTTCCCCTTCCCTTGTTCTAGCAGACCATTAGAATGGGCTTAGGTCTAACCTTATTCATGTTACTTTTAATAGTTCATAACATGCCAAGTAACTATGGAAAAGTTTTTCCAATTTCATTCATATTGAAATTAAGGACAATTTGATTAAAGTTATCCGACAACGATTGCAAGATGACATTAGTAGCCAATTCATTTTTGAGAGGAAATACCAATTTCTCCAACTTTTGGATGTAGCCCATCATCTTGATGACATGAGCTCCTATGGGAGATCACTTGGTCACACTACATCAAAATAGAGTTTTAGCGGTGTTTTTAAGCGCCGCTAAGAGCACTCGCGACGATAGAAAAAACGCCGCAAGAAATACCGACCATACCAGTGCCGCTAATGTTAGCGACGTTTGTGAAATAAAAATGCCGAAAAAAGTCAAGTTCTATAGCGGAATTTTTGAAACAAATGCCGCAAAAGTTCAGATCTATAGAGGCGTTTTTGTATACAAACGCCACAAAAGGTTGAGATCTATATCGGCGTTTTTGGAACAAAACGCAAAAGGTTAGATTTATAGCGGCGTTTTTGTATACAAACACTGTAAAAGGTCATATTGTAGCAGCATTTTTTTGGATAAACGCCGCAAAAGGTCATATCTGTAGCAGCAGTTTTGGATAAAAACACCGTAAAAGGTCATATCTGTAGCGGCGTTTTTGGAACAAACGCCGCTAATTACCATTCTTTAGCTCAAATTAATTGATATTTTGCTTATTTCATTTATGCTCTAAACCACCTAAATTTAATATCATATAACTTTATATAAATAACAACCACCATAAATTTTAACAACAAAATAAATTAAAATTTATAAGCATTAAAATTAAATGTAATGTAGTTTGATATTGTTCTCTAGAATTTAGTCTAGGTTATCTCACTTTCAATTAAAATCAATTATTATTCACTAGAATTTAGTCTTCATTGCTCCAGTTCACCAAGAAGACTCTTTGCACGCTTCAATGCTTCACTTGAAATAGATAACGACCTTCCACCTATAGTATGAAAACTGAGAATTAGCAAATTTCAGTTCACTATAAATTTAACCAATATGGTTTTAAATGATACATTGCTAAACAACTTAATCCTTTCTCAACAAGGACAAGATCGCTAAATGTAAAACTCTTAGAGATGACACATTACACATTACAAATTCAGAAACATATATTTTCATGATTTTGTTCATCAACCAAACTTAGGCGCACCTTGAAAAGGGGAAATCGAAGCTAATAAATAAAGATGCGCACCTTGAAAGCTACAAAATTATCAGTTTTTTTTGAAGCTGATAAATCAGACTATCTTTCTAAACTGAAAGTGAAGAAACTGGAAAAATGTTCATGAAAGAAAATGAACTATATCTTCATAACTTAATTTTATGCTCTTTGCAAAACCATTGTAATCCCTTCCATAAAAGGGGTTAATAATTAATATGACAACAATAAGAGCTCATAAACATTCTAGAGAAATTATTTAATACTTTGCCACTGTCAATGTTGCATAAGATTTACAAAATATCCTAGGTACAACTAGCTTATAAGGCCCAAATAATCACTGGTAAGACAGTTCAAATTGAAGCCAAAGACCAATTAAGAAACTTAGCTACCGAAATTCAACCCCAAAATTATAAAAGGTAAGTTGGGTGTATTTGCCACCTTATAGTAATAATCAACAAAAACATCATACTCTCTGCCGCCACCAACTTCTTCAACTGGCACAACATCACATATTTCTTTCAAATCATCTTGTCTCAGCTTCACAACCAATGATCCAATGTTGCTTTGAAGGTTTTTAATCTTAGTTGTAGCTGTAAAAACACGATTCCAAACCCGTATCCATCACCACACTTGAATTCAGATAACGTAGGTTTCTGAACTTACCTGGGATCAGAATGAAGTCTTAACTGAGGAGGGCTGCATCCATGCTTTTTCGCCAAGTTTTCGATACTGGCGTATACGAGTTTGTTCTTCTCCAAATTATCCCCTGCGAATCTTGGATGGAATTTCTATGATAAGAAAGATAAAATATGTATGTTTTTCTCAATTAATATATCACAACTATATAATAAATATAAAAGTTAACACATCTACATAATTATTTTATGTGTTTCTTATAAAATTACTATATTTATATAATATTATTAAATAAATTAAATTAGTCTTAATTACAATTTTACATATATAAAATTTTGGTTAAAATTATAACAAAATTCTAAGTTGATCAAGTGATTAAATGTTAGGTTTGCCTTTATCTAGAGGTATCTAATCAAACTTTTTCAAGTATATTTGTTAATTTTCCTTATTAAAATGTGTGACATTCAGATTATCGTATCATTATTAAATTAATTGTTCAATAGTACAATTAAATTAAAATTTAATATTTTAATATAAGTAATTGAAAGTTTAGTAGTCAAATTAAACGGTATCATGTATAGTTTGTTGAAAAAATAATTAATAGGTAAGTGGTATATAATACCAGTTACTTTCCCTGTCAACTTGGTCGAATTCGATAGACTTGTCGAGAATCCTGTTGGTGCCTATGGCAGTTCGATAACGAGAAAGGGTAATCCATAGCTGGTTCTGCAACGCTCTCCCTAGCATGAGAGGGAGTATCATATTGACAACGTCCCACTCTTTAACCATAATGGAGTACATGCTCCCTGCAATCCAAGGACACAACACCTTGTACTGCAAATATCCATCCAACAAAACAACATATAATTGGATCGATGTGTGAAAATGAATACATAAAGAACTGAGGCATCTTACTACCTTAAAGCTTCCAAGAGGCTTCCATGGCCAATCAGTGAGGATTCCTGGTTTAGAAGCCATGCCTTGCTACCTGCAAATGGATCTTATTACTAGTATGAGGCTTAGCTGCATATATATAGTGTTTTTCTGTAGCTACATAAATCAAATTCCTTTGCAAACATGCAACCATTATTAATATTATTTTATTTTACATTTATATTTACATAAGAAAAAAACCATTAATTTAAATTCAAGTGGAATGAAAAAGAATTTTTACTCAAAACTGGACAAATCTTTGAATTATTATGGGTAGGTCTAGATTTTCGTCGGAAGAAGACAGTGCATTGATATCATTCTCGATGGAGTTAGCAGCCACATAATTAATTGGCGTTGAAGCGGTCGTGATGGATTGAATTTCGTTCTTTGTCTAATGGCTCAGTGTGTGACATTATGCATGAATGTAGTTGGATAGGAGATAGACATAATCAATTTAATTGAGAGTAACAAAAACATGGATTAGCATACACTGATAAAATCTCAAATCTGCCCCTACCATAATTGAACTGACTATTAGCAGGTAACCGTGAAATATAAGAAGCAAAAAGAGCAATTGCCAATGCGACACAATCAAACAACATGTGACATGCATCACATATCAACCCCAGACTATTACTCATGATCCAGCATCAAATTCCACAACCATATACCCGGTATTAATCAATAGAAACAATGCAATTTTCTGAGTCTTTCGCTCACTCAATATATGTTGAATAGGTTTCATTATCGACATAATAAAAGACTCGGAAGATTCCATCCCCAATTCAATATAACTCTTATTTAAAGGAAAGCAATCTACTCTATCCCAACATAGAGATAATAGCATGAAGACAATAAATAAAAAGCAAAACCCAATAAAGTGAGACCTTTTCTTCGGGTTTTTCTTTTTGGAAAAAAGCCTGCCAGCAAGGTTTCCAGATAGTTCTGCTAAGATCATAGCAGCTGTGCCACAGTATCTAAGAGCCTGGAACCTGAGAAGTAAGATAATCGACAAAAGGAAAGACTTGGAGAATAGAAGTTTGAGCTGAGTGTTTGTGAGAGAATAATTGAGAAATTGGGAAATTAGGAAGATTTCTTGGGCTTTTTTTAGACAAAAGGGTAAACGAGAGAGAGAGAGGAGGAAGGAGAGGAAAGATACGAGGAAAGAGAAAGGAAATAGTGATAAAGAAAGAGAAGAGCGGATAAAAGGGATGAGAGAGTAAAGAGAGCGGAGGGAAAGGAGGAGGAAGAGGAGGAAAGAGAGGGAGGATTTCTTTTGAGAAGAAGAGGAAGTGATTGAAGATTGGAGGGGAGACGGTGTTTCGAGGGAGTTGCAATTGGGGTTGTGATGGAAGAAGGATACGAATAGGGGGGTAAGATCTCGGGGTGGGGGTTTGGGTTGTGAATCCGGTGGCTTGTGGAGGGACGAAGAGAGGGTTGGGACGGTGGTGATGATGGTGGTGTTGATCCGCCATTTTGATTTTTCTTTCCCCCGGGTCTGATTTAAAAGAGGGGCAAACAATTCCGTACTCTTATTTTCCTTTAATTATTATAGCAATTCATATAAATTCAAACAATTGTTTATTGAAAAAAGTCACTATAGGTAAACGTTATTGTGACGTTTTATATAAAAATGCCACTAAAGTTATAATTTGTTGCGGCGTTTATTGAAAAAACACCACTATAGGTGAACCCTATTACGACTAAAGTTTAATTTTTTACGAGTTAATTGACAAACGCCACTATAGTGAACCCTATTACGACGTTTGTATAAAAACGCCGCTAAAGTACTAATCTATTGCGGCGTTTATTGAAAAATGCCAATATAGATAGACCTATTGCAGCTTTTGTCAAAAAAAAAGCTAATATAGATGAACCCTGTTGCATCGTTTATAAAGAAATGCCACTAAAGTTGCCATTTTTGTGGCGTTTGGAATGTAAGCGTCGCTATATATTTAAATTTAGTGGCGTTTACTCAAAAAAAGCCGCTAAAAGCACCGCTAAAGAACATTTTTGTTGTAGTGTTATTTTGCTATTAAGTATAGCTTTAGAGGTCTCATACCTGTCATAAAATTCTTTAAGATTCTTAATTATATCACATGCAACCATGATGTTGCTTCTGAAGCTCAACAGTTATGGTGACAACCATTAGACATCTTATGTCCAACCCGTCATCAAAGTGTTTCTTGTACTTATATTTTTCAGATTTAGGAGCAATAACTATCGGATCACTAGGAACAAGTTTATCAATAACATATTTATTCATTTCCTATTTGAGAATAATTCTCAAATTACGTAACCACTCGAGGAAGTTCAAGCCATTTAACTTATCCTTCTCAAGGATCGATCACAATGATAGTGTGTCGTTCACCATTAAATCTACAACAATAGAAATATATATAACCAGTAAATTTACCGAATTTAAAATCTATAAATAGGTATTTATTAACAAATTACTCCCACTATTTTATTCAAATTAAAAAACCCCCATGTTTTAATTTCAGAAAAAAAACTTCTCGAAAGTTTTCTAGCGAGTTAGGATTCATATTTCACCCTTTTCCTAAATCAACTTTGGCTTTTCTTTTAGGAGAATGATTATTTAGGTAAATAACGCTTTACTAATTACATCTCACGTAATTCATATATTTGGTAAACAACTATTGTTCAAATTATATCATGATTTATACAAATAATTAATCTCTAGGTTTCTAATCCTTTAGAATAACCTAGCTAAGTTGTTGCCAATATTTTAACTGGTGAATATCACTTGCTTATTCTTTGTGTTTACCCAAGATAGACTCGTGTTCCATTGCTTTGGCAAAACCCACGTAATATTGATCAGTCTTAACGAGTGTAAATATTAGACGATTAAATCAACATAGATTATAGAGAAGGATTTTCATAATTATCTCATCAATATTCATTTTAATATTAGGTCCTTTATTGATCTCATCAATTTATTAGCATGCTAACATATCATTCATCGTATCACATACATTATAGATATAAATCAGTAAAAACTATGTAATGGTTATAGCCCAAATAAAGAACTACGGTGCGATCTCAAGCCAATGGAAGAACCATAAATCCTAAAGATAGAGATGGCTTTTCTAGCATCTTCTCGCTTTAGTCATTCCATTCTTCTACTCATTTGAATCCTCACATGATTACAATTTTAGAAACTCGTTTTACACATAAGGAGTAAGATGATAAAAGAAATACAATTGAAGTATAGATAGGAATGACACGAAGGCCGTATTTAAAATTTACAACCATTACACACAAAAGGGATATAACCAGGCATGTCAAACATCGTGCATATCAAACCTATCATATGTATTTCATTACGAACTTATTAATAATTACAGAGATGGACCTACAGCATTTATTGCCCACGAAGAAGTCAAGGGACGGAGCCCCTTACGGGAATTTGGTGCCCAGCGTCGCCACAAGTTTGATAACTTTTATCAATAGAACCATGTTTCTGTGAATTTCCATTATTGATTTTTTTTTGTACTTGAACAACCATTGTTCTCATGCCGAAAATTATATTCCATCACTGTCGCAAGTTCATGAAATTGGCAATTAATCTACAAACATCAAATAATACAATAAAAAAACATATGATTAACGCTTAATAAATGATTGTAATAGTTTATTTAACTGAATCAACATATTAATCACTACAACCATTGAATCAAGCGCATATGTATAACATACTCGCCGAAAACAGTAAAATCAAAATGCATCTTATACATATCGTATTAAACTAATATTTGACCTAAATCTAGATCGTACAAGTGGCTCTGATACAACTGTTAGGATCGACAATACACCCCGTGGCTCATAAAAAAATAATTCGACGGTTCACCAATGATCGATGTACGAAAAACTTAAATTGAGAGGAAGGGATGCGTGATTTACCTTAGGTTCCTGGAATAAACAACAATTCCGCAATAATCATGAACGACTCGAATCCTAGCCTCTACAAATTGTCTCGACCTCTACCCAGTTGAAAGTAGTTTTCTTTTCTCAAAAACTACTTTGAGAAAATTTTAAAATACTGGAATGGCTACTAGACCATTATAATCCTTTTGTACGACAAATCACTCTAACCCTTACGATTTATTTTGTATTAAATGATTATTCTTAATTTAAATTTATTAAAAGAAATATAATCATAATCATATTTCCTTTAACATCCATATTTATATTTTGGATTACTAAAGTTGCATATATATCAAATATATTAACTTTAATTATAGACATTTATATTCATGTACGATAAAAGTGTACAATTATAAGTAGTTTAGTATTTGCTCAGTACAACCCTAGGGTGTGACCCTGAAGGTTCTTGTAACATTAGTAATAATTATTTGAACCATTCTAATATTATAAATAATGAATGACATCTAGCAATCTATCATTTTCATCTAAGTTACAAGAAGTCATGATTCGACATAAAATCTATGTGACTATCTCTCTTACGTGTTATATCCTTTTATCCTTAATATCTAGAATAGTCACAAGTCTTGGTATAATCACACTTGTATATCCATCTATTATTTCTTGGTATTAAAAGTAGACTCAAATTAACAAACAACTTATGATATCTCATATCAACTTGTTCGAATATGTCCATGCATTTATAGTCTCACTCAATCAAGTGGTCTGTGATATATTTCCTATTATGTGGGAAGGTATAATTCCATCTTGATTTTTTTTAATTCTTAAGTTATTATTTATTTTTTTTTCTATTCATTGTTATCCTATTTTGTTTTTGTTTTTTTATATGTATTTATTGTGTTAGATCTTTAATTTATGTTTTATTTCTGAATATTTATTTAGTTCGTTTAGTTTTTTTAAGTTTCTCCAACATTAACTTTATTTAATTGATGATGTTTATAAATAGACTTTTTTATTTTTCATTTATTCTAATTATTTTATGTTTAGGTAGTTTATTTGGATTTTAATCTATTTAATATTTTTAATCTAACTATTTTATTTATTTTATTATTTTCAGGTTTTTTCTAATCAATACTACATTTTC